CCTCCTCACTCCTTACCACCTCCTCACTCCTCAACACCTTCTCCTTACCACCTCCTCACTCCTCAACACTTCCTCACTCCTCACTCCCTCCTCACTCCTTACCACCTCCTCACTCCTTACCACCTCCTCACTCCTTACCACCTCCTCACTCCTCAACACCTCCTCACTCCTCAACACCTCCTCACCACCTCCTCACTCCTTACCACCTCCTCACTCAACACCTCCTCCTCACACCTCACTCCTCAACACCTCCTCACCCTTCACTACCTCCTCACTCCTCATCACCTCCTCACTACCTTCACACTCCTCACCACCTCCTCACTCATCACCACCTCCTCACTCCTTACCACCTCCTCACTCCTCATTACCTCCTCCTCACCACCTCCTCACTCCTTACCACCTCCATATTCCTCATTACCTCCTCATTCCTCATTACCTCCTCCTCACCACCTCACTCCTTACCACCTCCTCATTCCTCATTACCTCCTCCTCACCACCTCCTCACTCCTTACCACCTCCTCATTCCTCATTACCTCATTCCTCATTATCTCCTCCTCACCACCTCCTCACTCCTTACCACCTCCTCATTCCTCATTATCTCCTCACCACCTTCTCACTCCTAACCACCTCATTCCTCATTACCTCCTCCTAACCACCTCCTCACTCCTTACCACCTCCTCATTCCTCATTACCTCCTCACCACCTCCTTACTCCTTACCACCTCCTCATTCCTCATTACCTCCTCACCACCTCCTTACTCCTTACCACCTCCTCAATCCTCATTACCTCCTCACTCCTCACCACCTCCTCATTCCTCATTACCTCCTCCTAACTCCTTACCACCTCCTCACTCCTTACCACCTCCTCACTCCTTACCACCTCCTCACTCCTTACCACCTCCTCCTCACCACCTCCTCACTCCTTACCACCTCCTCTCTCCTTACCACCTCCTCATTCCTCATTACCTCCCCCTCATCACCTCCTCACTACCTCCTCAATCCTCACCGCCTCCTCACTCCTCACCACCTTCTCATCCCTCATTACCTCCTTACCACCTCCTCACTACCTCCTCAATCCTCACCACCTCCTCACTCCTCACCACCTCCTCATTCCTCATAACCTCCTCCTCACCACCTCCTCACTTCTTACCACCTCCTCACTCCTCACCATCTCCTCCTCACCACCTCCTCACTCCTTACCACCTCCTCACTCCTCAACACCTCCTCACTCCTCAACACCTCCTCACTACCTCCTCACTCCTCACCACCTCATTCCTCACCTCCTCAATCCTCATTACCTCCTCACCACCTCCTCACTCCTTACAACCTCCTCACTCCTAACCACCTCATCACTCCTCACAACCTCCTCACTCCTCAATACCTCATCACTCCTCCTTCCTCACTACCTTATCACACCTCACCACCTCATCACTCCTCACTACTTCCTCACTCCTCACCACCTCATCACTCCTCACTACCTCCACACTCCTCATCACCTCCTCACTCCTCACCACCTCATCACTCCTCCATACCTCCTCACTCCTCACCACCTCCTCACTCCTTACCACCTCCTCACTCCTCACCTCCTCCTCACCACCTCCTCACTCCTTACCACCTCCTCACTCCTCAACACCTTCTCCTTACCACCTCCTCACTCCTCAACACCTCCTCACTCCTCACTCCCTCCTCACTCCTTACCACCTCCTCACTCCTTACCACCTCCTCACTCCTCACCAACTCCTCACTCCTCACCATCTCCTCATTCCTCATAACCTCCTCCTCACCACCTCCTCACTTCTTACCACCTCCTCACTCCTCACTCTCTCCTCCTCACCACCTCCTCACTCCTTACCACCTCCTCACTCCTCAACACCTCCTCACTCCTCAACACCTCCTCACTCCTCACTACCTCCTCACTCCTCACCACCTCATTCCTCACCTCCTCAATCCTCATTACCTCCTCACCACCTCCTCACTCCTTACAACCTCCTCACTCCTAACCACCTCATCACTCCTCACAACCTCCTCACTCCTCAATACCTCATCACTCCTCCTTCCTCACTACCTTATCACACCTCACCACCTCATCACTCCTCACTACCTCCACACTCCTCATCACCTCCTCACTCCTCACCACCTCATCACTCCTCCATACCTCATCACTCCTCACCACCTCCTCACTCCTTACCACCTCCTCACTCCTCACCTCCTCCTCACCACCTCCTCACTCCTTACCACCTCCTCACTCCTCAACACCTTCTCCTTACCACCTCCTCACTCCTCAACACCTCCTCACTCCTCACTCCCTCCTCACTCCTTACCACCTCCTCACTCCTTACCACCTCCTCACTCCTCACCACCTCCTCACTCCTCAACACCTCCTCCTCACCACCTCCTCACTCCTTACCACCTCCTCACTCCTCAACACCTCCTCCTTACCACCTCCTCACTCCTCAACACCTCCTCACTCCTCACTACCTCCTCACTCCTTACCACCTCACTCCTTACCACCTCCTCACTGCTCACCACGTCCTCACTTCTCAACACCTCCTCACCACCACCTCCTGACTCCTCAACACCTCCTCACTCCTCACTACCTCCTCCTCAACACCTCCTCACTCTTCACTACCTCCTCACTACCTCCTCACTGCTCATCACCTCCTCACTACCTTCACACTCCTCACCACCTCCTCACTCATCACCACCTCCTCACTCCTTACTACCTCCTCACTCCTCATTACCTCCTCCTCACCACCTCCTCACTCCTCAACACCACCTCACTCCTACCACCTCCACACTCCTCAACACCTCCTCCTTACCACCTCCTCACTCCTCAACACCTCCTCACTCCTCACTCCCTCCTCACTCCTTACCACCTCCTCACTCCTCACTACCTCCTCCTCAACACCTCCTCACTCCTCACTCCCTCCTCACTCCTTACCACCTCCACACTCCTCAACACCTCCTCCTTACCACCTCCTCACTCCTCAACACCTCCTCACTCCTCACTACCTCCTCCTCAACACCTCCTCACTCTTCACTACCTCCTCACTACCTCCTCACTGCTCATCACCTCCTCACTACCTTCACACTCCTCACCACCTCCTCACTCATCACCACCTCCTCACTCCTTACTACCTCCTCACTCCTCATTACCTCCTCCTCACCACCTCCTCACTCCTCAACACCTCCTCACTCCTTACCACCTCCTCACTCCTTACCACCTCCTCACTCCTCACCACCTCCTCACTCCTCAACACCTCCTCCTCACCACCTCCTCACTCCTTACCACCTCCTCACTCCTCAACACCTCCTCCTTACCACCTCCTCACTCCTCAACACCTCCGCACTCCTCAACACCTCCTCACGCCTTACCACCTCCTCACTCCTCAGCACCTCCTCACTCCTCAACACCTCCTCCTCACACCTCCTCACTCCTCAACACCTCCTCACTCCTCACTACCTCCTCTCTCCTCACTCACTTCTCACTGCCTCCTCACCACCTCCTCACTCCTCAACACCTCCTCACTCCTCACTACCTCCTACTCACCACCTCCTCACTTCTCACTACCTCCTCACTTCTCACTCCTCACTACCTCCTCCTCACCACCTCCTCACTACCTCCTCTTCACCACCTCCTCACTCCTCACTACCTCCTCATCACGGGTTTGAACAGTTAAGATGGTTGAACTGAGTTGTGACAAAGAAGACTGGACAGTTAAGATGGTTGTACTGAGTTGTGACATAGAAGACTGGACAGTTAAGATGGTTGTACTGAGTTGTGACATAGAAGACTGGACAGTTAAGATGGTTGTACTGAGTTGTGATATAGAAGACTGGGCAGTTAAGATGGTTGTACTGAGTTGTGACGTGAAGACTGGACAGTTAAGATGGTTGTACTGAGTTGTGACATAGAAGACTGGACAGTTAAGATGGTTGTACTGAGTTGTGATATAGAAGACTGGACAGTTAAGATGGTTGTACTGAGTTGTGACATAGAAGACTGAACAGTTAAGATTGTTGTACAAGTTGTGACATAGAAGACTGGACAGTTAAGATGGTTGTACTGAGTTGTGACATAGAAGACTGAACAGTTAAGATTGTTGTACTGAGTTGTGACATAGAAGACTGAATGGTTAAGAAGGTTGTACTGAGTTGTGATATAGAAAACTGTTTGCTACGCCAGTTTTATAACAAACCCCTAAAGTGAAAGTTTAAGAGTTATTTATCTATGGTTCCTTTGATGAGGATGTTTGCAGTCTATGAGCTGTGACATGACTGTCAGTTGCTGTTGTAGTGGGATATCTCCTGCAGTGTGCTGCTCACCGGAACGCCTGTACAGAACAACCTCAGAGAGCTGTATGCCCTGCTCAGCTTCATAGCCCCAAGGATGTTCCGGATGTCTAAGGTGGACAAGTTTGTAGAAACATACAGCAACACAGAGAAGGAAGAAGGTAGAGGGGGCCTAGAGGAGTTCACTTTCAGTATTTCTTAATCCAAGATAGGTTTTTATCGAGAAAAAAGGCAACCAAACAAGAACAGTGTTTCAAGAATATACTGTTGGTGTATGATTTCAAAGCAACATTATGTATGTTTGTAGGTATGTTTCAATGGTGAAATGATCTGTTGCAGGCCTTGAGGAGCTGCATGAGTTGCTGAAACCCTATCTGCTGAGGCGCACCAAGAACAATGTTCTGGCAGACCTGCCCAACAAGACAGAGGTGGTTCTGTACCATGGACTGTCCGGTCTTCAGAAGAAGCTGTACAAGGGCATCCTCACCAGGGACCTAGGTACCTATGTAGATGACATTGGGTGCTGGTAGAAGTAGCAGTAGTTCATTGTACTGTCTTCCAAGAGTTTTTCCTGGGGTAGGGAGGGCTGATGGATCTGGTTGTGTGTTGCAGAAGCCTTCAACAGCACTGCAGTACAGCCCCGCCTCATGAACATCCTGATGCAGTTGAGGAAGTGTGTCAACCACCCGTACCTGTTTGATGGTAATGGGGAACAATATCTTGCAGCTATAGACATTGTTAATTCAGTATTACCAAACAAGTCAAAACCATTATTAAGATTTTTATCAAACTTGGATGTAAATAATGTCGCTATTGTAGAGGGATGTAACTAATGTGGCTAATTTTGAGGAGTGTAAATAATGTGGCTATTGTAGAGGGATGTAAATGATGTGGCTATTGTAGAGGGATGTAAATACTGTGGCTAATGTAGAGGGGTGTAAATTATGTGGCTATTGTAGAGGGATGTAAATAATTTGACTAATGTTGAGCAATGTAAATAATGTGGCTATTGTAGAGGGGTGTAAATAATATGGCTATTGTAGAGGGATGTAACGAATGTGGCTAATGTAAAGGGATGAAAATAATGCGGCTATTGTAGAGGGATGTAAATATTATGGCTATTGTAGGGGGATCTTACTAATGTGGCTTATGTAGAGGGATGTAAATAATATGGCTATTGTAGAGGGATGTAACTAATGTTGCTAATGTAGAGGGATGTAAATAATGTGGCTATTGTAGAGGATGAAAATAATATGGCAAATGTGGAGGTATGTAAATAATGTGGCTATTGTAGAGGGATGTAAATAATATGGCAAATGTGGAGGTATGTAAATAATGTGGCTATTGTAGAGGGATGTAAATGATATGGCTATTGTAGAGGGATGTAACTAATGTGGCTAATGTAGAGGGGTGTAAATAATGTGGCTAATGTAGAGGGATGAAAATAATGTGGCTAATGTAGAGGGATGTAAATAATATGGCAAATGTAGAAAGGTGAAATAAAGTGGCTAATATAGAGGGATGAAAATAATGTGGCTAATTTGGAGGTATGAAAATAATGTGACTAATGTAGAGGGGTGTAAATAATGTGACTAATGTAGAGGGGTGTAAATAATGTTGCTAATATAGAGGGATGTAAATAATATGGCTATTGTAGAGGGATATAACTAATGTGGCTAATGTAGAGGGATGTAAATAATGTGGCTATTGTAGAGGGATGTAAATAATGTGGCTAATGTAGAGGGATGTAACTAATATGGCTTATATAGAGGGATGAAAATAATGTGGCTAATGTAGAGGGATGTAAATAATATGGCAAATGTGGAGGTATGTAAATAATGAAGCTATTGTAGAGGGATGTAAATAATGTGACTAATGTTGAGGAATGTAAATAATGTGGCTATTGTAGAGGGATGTAAATAATATGGCTATTGTAGAGGGATGTAACTAATGTGGCTAATGTAGAGGGGTGAAAATAATGTGGCTATTGTAGAGGGATGTAAATAATGTGGCTATTGTAGAGGGATGTAACTAATGTGGCTAATGTAGAGGGATGAAAATAATGTGGCTAATGTAGAGGGATGAAAATAATGTTGCTAATGTAGAGGGATGAAAATAATGTGGCTAATATAGAGGGATGTAAATAATATGGCAAATGTAGAAAGGTGAAATAAAGTGGCTAATATAGAGGGATGAAAATAATGTGGCTAATTTAGAGGTATGTAAATAATGTGACTAATGTAGAGGGGTGTAAATAATGTGGCTAATATAGAGGGATGTAAATAATGTGGCTATTGTAGAGGAATGTAAATAATGTGGCTAATGTAGAGGGATGAAAATAATGTTGCTAATGTAGAGGGATGTAAATAATATGGCAAATGTTGAGGTATGTAAATAATGTGGCTAATGTAGAGGGATGTAAATAATGTGGCTATTGTAGAGGGATGTAAGTAATGTGGCTTATGTAGAGGGATGTAACTAATATGGCTTATAGAGAGGGATGAAAATAATGTGGCTAATGTAGAGGGATGTAAATAATATGGCAAATGTGGAGGTATGTAAATAATGAAGCTATTGTAGAGGGATGTAAATAATGTGACTAATGTTGAGGAATGTAAATAATGTGGCTATTGTAGAGGAATGTAAATAATGTGGCTATTGTAGAGGGATATAAATAATATGGCAAATGTGGAGGTATGTAAATAATGTGGCTATTGTAGAGGGATGTAAATAATGTGACTAATGTTGAGGAATGTAAATAATGTGGCTATTGTAGAGGGATGTAAATAATGTTGCTATTGTAGAGGGATGTAACTAATGTGGCTAATGTAGAGGGATGAAAATAATGTGGCTATTGTAGAGGGATGTAAATAATGTGGCTAATGTAGAGGGATGTAACTAATGTGGCTAATGTAGAGGGATGAAAATAATGTGGCTAATGTAGAGGGATGAAAATAATGTGGCTAATGTAGAGGGATGTAAATAATATGGCAAATGTAGAAAGGTGAAATAAAGTGGCTAATATAGAGGGATGTAAATAATGTGGCTATTGTAGAGGGATGTAAATAATGTGGCTTATGTAGAGGGATGTAACTAATGTGGCTAATGTAGAGGGGTGAAAATAATGTGGCTATTGTAGAGGGATGTAAATAATGTGGCTATTGTAGAGGGATGTAACTAATGTGGCTAATGTAGAGGGATGAAAATAATGTGGCTAATGTAGAGGGATGAAAATAATGTTGCTAATGTAGAGGGATGTAAATAATATGGCAAATGTAGAAAGGTGAAATAAAGTGGCTAATATAGAGGGATGAAAATAATGTGGCTAATTTAGAGGTATGTAAATAATGTGACTAATGTAGAGGGGTGTAAATAATGTGGCTAATATAGAGGGATGTAAATAATGTGGCTATTGTAGAGGAATGTAAATAATGTTGCTAATGTAGAGGGATGAAAATAATGTTGCTAATGTAGAGGGATGTATTTAATATGGCAAATGTTGAGGTATGTAAATAATGTGGCTAATGTAGAGGGATGTAAATAATGTGGCTATTGTAGAGGGATGTAAATAATGTGGCTTATGTAGAGGGATGTAACTAATATGGCTTATAGAGAGGGATGAAAATAATGTGGCTAATGTAGAGGGATGTAAATAATATGGCAAATGTGGAGGTATGTAAATAATGAAGCTATTGTAGAGGGATGTAAATAATGTGACTAATGTTGAGGAATGTAAATAATGTGGCTATTGAAGAGGAATGTAAATAATGTGGCTATTGTAGAGGGATATAAATAATATGGCAAATGTGGAGGTATGTAAATAATGTGGCTATTGTAGAGGGATGTAAATAATGTGACTAATGTTGAGGAATGTAAATAATGTGGCTATTGTAGAGGGATGTAAATAATGTTGCTATTGTAGAGGGATGTAACTAATGTGGCTAATGTAGAGGGATGAAAATAATGTGGCTATTGTAGAGGGATGTAAATAATGTGGCTAATGTAGAGGGATGTAACTAATGTGGCTAATGTAGAGGGATGAAAATAATGTGGCTAATGTAGAGGGATGAAAATAATGTGGCTAATGTAGAGGGATGAAAATAATGTGGCTAATGTAGAGGGATGTAAATAATATGGCAAATGTAGAAAGGTGAAATAAAGTGGCTAATATAGAGGGATGTAAATAATGTGGCTATTGTAGAGGGATGTAAATAATGTGGCTTATGTAAAGGGATGTAACTAATGTGGCTAATGTAGAGGGGTGAAAATAATGTGGCTATTGTAGAGGGATGTAAATAATGTGGCTATTGTAGAGGGATGTAACTAATGTGGCTAATGTAGAGGGATGAAAATAATGTGGCTAATGTAGAGGGATGAAAATAATGTTGCTAATGTAGAGGGATGTAAATAATATGGCAAATGTAGAAAGGTGAAATAAAGTGGCTAATATAGAGGGATGAAAATAATGTGGCTAATTTAGAGGTATGTAAATAATGTGACTAATGTAGAGGGGTGTAAATAATGTGGCTAATATAGAGGGATGTAAATAATGTGGCTATTGTAGAGGAATGTAAATAATGTTGCTAATGTAGAGGGATGAAAATAATGTTGCTAATGTAGAGGGATGTATTTAATATGGCAAATGTTGAGGTATGTAAATAATGTGGCTAATGTAGAGGGATGTAAATAATGTGGCTATTGTAGAGGGATGTAAATAATGTGGCTTATGTAGAGGGATGTAACTAATATGGCTTATAGAGAGGGATGAAAATAATGTGGCTAATGTAGAGGGATGTAAAAAATATGGCAAATGTGGAGGTATGTAAATAATGAAGCTATTGTAGAGGGATGTAAATAATGTGACTAATGTTGAGGAATGTAAATAATGTGGCTATTGAAGAGGAATGTAAATAATGTGGCTATTGTAGAGGGATATAAATAATATGGCAAATGTGGAGGTATGTAAATAATGTGGCTATTGTAGAGGGATGTAAATAATGTGACTAATGTTGAGGAATGTAAATAATATGGCAAATGTTGAGGAATGTAAATAATGTGGCTATTGTAGAGGGATGTAAATAATGTTGCTATTGTAGAGGGATGTAACTAATGTGGCTAATGTAGAGGGATGAAAATAATGTGGCTATTGTAGAGGGATGTAAATAATGTGGCTAATGTAGAGGGATGTAACTAATGTGGCTAATGTAGAGGGATGAAAATAATGTGGCTAATGTAGAGGGATGAAAATAATGTGGCTAATGTAGAGGGATGTAAATAATATGGCAAATGTAGAAAGGTGAAATAAAGTGGCTAATATAGAGGGATGAAAATAATGTGGCTAATTTAGAGGTATGTAAATAATGTGACTAATGCAGAGGGGTGTAAATAATGTGGCTAATATAGAGGGATGTAAATAATGTGGCTATTGTAGAGGAATGTAAATAATGTGGCTAATGTAGAGGGATGAAAATAATGTTGCTAATGTAGAGGGATGTAAATAATATGGCAAATGTTGAGGTATGTAAATAATGTGGCTAATGTAGATAGGTGAAATAAAGTGGCTAATATAGAGGGATGAAAATAATGTGGCTAATTTGGAGGTATGAAAATAATGTGACTAATGTAGAGGGGTGTAAATAATGTGGCTAATGTGGGGCGATGTAAATTATATGGCTAATGTGAGGGATGTAAATAATGTTGATAATATAGAGTGGTGTAAATAATGTGGCTAATGTACTAGGATATCAATAATGTGGCTAATGTTGAAGAGTGTAAATATTGTTGCTAATGTAAAGGAGTGTAAATAATGTGGCTAATGTAAAGGGATATAAATAATGTTGCTAATGTAGAGGGCTGTAAATAATGTTAGCTAATGAAATGGGATGTAAATATTATGGCTAGTGTATAGGGATGTAAATAATGTGGCTAATGTACTGGGATGTAAATAATGTGGATCATATACCAGGTTGAATATATGATGTGCTCCATACCATTAATTTCCTGTGTGTGCTAGAGTCAACACCTACTATAGTAGTAGTGACAATCTAGCACCTGGTAGTAGATCACATTAACCTGAGATTATTCTAATACGATTGCTATAATAACAGACATTTAAATAAATATATAGTTAAGTAATAGTGCTGCTGGAAGAGACCAGACACTCGTGAAGATAGCTGGTGTTGGGTTTGTGAGGTTGCCATGCAGTGTCCCACCACCCCCGGGTGTAAGAAGTGTGGTCGATTTATGATCATGGGAGATCCTCATGTAAACCGCACAAAGTGAAGAGGGAAGACCAGCACATCGGTGAAGAGATGTGAGAAATGCACCCAAACATCCGAAGAGATATTCTCCAAAATGTCAGAGGCCACGACTAAGGTCAAGAGGAGAGAGGCGGCAAAGAAAAAGGTTAACAAGATCGTCACTGAAAAATCAGTTTCTACTCCAGCGCCTCCCCCATCATCTCCTGCTCTCACCCTGAGCCTCATCCAACAACTTCCGAGAGAACAGCAGGAGACTTGCTTGATTCCAAGCTGTCGAATAAGGATGCTAAGATCGCGACGGTAGCTCTGGCAAAGACCACCAGATCTTCGTCCACGGCCATGGGCCAGGCTACACAAGATCTACAAGCTGAGCCGCACTGCCAAGCCCACAGACCATGGCAAGGGCATGGGCCACGGCCCGGGTCCCGGTTACCAAACCATGGACCAGTCACCAAGCCAGCTAACTGGCCAGCCAGCTCTAGACCAGAGAGCAATATTGTACGGGAGCCGCACAGGAGCCGCACGGTATCCATGGACAGGCCGTCCATAGTAACCAGCCATACCAGCCATACCAGCCAGACACCCCATGGGCCTGCCTCCAACGGCATTCCAGCGGACGGATAAGCCGTCCAGTCAGCTATCTGTGAAGAAACCGTCCGGCACCAACGGCTACCCAGCCTACCGACCATGTCTTACTTTTTGACCATCCAACGGGACCCAAGCCAGCCGCACGGACTCCACGGGATTACCAAGCCAGCCGCCCGAGCAGCCAGCCAGCCATGAGGATAGCCAAGGCATGGCTGCTGTTACCCATGGGCTACAAGCCACACAGAGACATGTTATAACAGAGTCATGGTCACCGGAGGATGACGAGCCCTATAGGGCAGAAGCTGAATATGATTATCCACCCCCAAAGGCCAATACCAAAGGCTACTCAGAGAGGTTTAGGAGTATATAGAAAACTCACCCCAACGAGATTACAGAGAGGGCTACTCTTTTGTGGAACTTATTGAAGAGCTTTACCACCTTATGCCTTCACTTCGGCAACATGTGACAGAGGATTCACCAGCATATTCATCAAACGTTACCTTGGCCCAACTATGCGGGCAAGGTCGTAGACCAATTAATGGATAACATCCATAGACTCAAACACGATGAGCATCTTCCTCTTCCATCTATGAAACAGAAGTTATACAAGATGCACAATACTATAATTCCTGATGATTACTGTAAACAGCTTTATTTCTGCGCTGTTAAAATATTGCGAATACCACACCAAAGACAATACTGCGACGAGATATTTTTGCGAGTTCCCGTGTTGAGATGACCCCTCGATTACCAAACAATAGACAGCTTCTCTCCGAAGCTAGTTAATCTGAGTTGGCCGGAAAGTTGACCAGTGTCATGAAACCGATTCACGCAAGATGGCTTGTTTCCTGTGTAGACAAAATTGCAAAGGACACTGACGCAATCAAGCGAGGTTGGAAGAAGGCAGGATTACTGTGAGGTAACAGTGACACTAATTGGTCTGTTTGTGGTTCTGGTTGATTATTTCAACATTTGATGACGTGTTGCAATGAATAAAGTATGTATGTATTATTTATACTTATTTTTGCGTTTTTAATTTTTGCGATTGAGTCTCGTTCGCAAAACTCACAATAATAAAACAGTCGCAAAAAAATGCACTGTTTACAGTATTTCTACAAATTAGTGCACAATCCCGACATGAACATTACATTATCAGCATCACATTTCAAGGATTTAGCATCAGTTGCCAGATACTCCATGGATATCAGGCATGTGTCAATTGGTTCGTCGCCGGAATCAGACACACCATACCACCATACCATACTACAACCATCCTATGAAGAAATTGCGCCGGAAAGGCTGATGACTATTAGGACCGATCAAGTCGGACTAATCCACTGCCTCCTTGACTCGGACTAATCCACTGCCTCCTTGACTCGGTCGTTAAGATGCAGGAAGATTTACTATCATCCCAAATCTGGACTTCCTCACAGTTACCTTGACTACAGCGACAACAGCTCCTATCCCAGATTAGGTCAAGGGCTGTATCTAGCCAGACCAGGAAGTTTGTGACCTCACAACCAATATCAGCGACCACAACTTTCAACGGGAAACTCAGAAATGTGATAGATGAAGTGAAATAAGATACAGCTGAGCGTTTCCAGACTTCAACCATAGACCTTGCGGCGAGAGCTCATGAGTCATCACATTCTCACAAGCGACGCTGGGACCATAAGTCATCTACGCCCAAACAGCCTCCTAAGAAGAAGTTTAGAACCCTCCGGGAAGGATTCGTTCCAACTGAGGCGGTGGTACGACAAGCCACAATCTTCCCAGGACTCTTTTCGCCAGCCAGACTACAAGAAACGGGGATATAATCATCATGGAAGATCATGCGGCAGAGAGGAAGGAAACTTCTGACTTCCTTACAACCCCCTCCGATGTTATAGACCCTTTCGACCTGGTTACGTCTATGGATTGCTATTTACGCCACACAGTGGGAGGGCCCCTTCTGTCATACGCTGAAAATTGGAAGCAGGTTACGCCCGACCTCTGGATTCTAGACGTCAGGTTACAAGCTACAAGCTACGATTCAGGAAACATCCGAGTCTGAACATACACTCCGAGGGTCGAAGATTTCACCTGACCGGTGCCAAGTTAGCAGCTGCAGAATTTGACATCAGGAAGCTACTAAAGAAGCGAGCCATTAGGGAACTAAAGGAGTCCAACAACACCAAAGATTTTTACTCTCCAGTCTTTTTAGTCCCAAAGAGTGAGTGAGTGAGTGAGTATGGTTTTACGCCGCTTTTAGCAATATTCCAGCAATATCACGGCGGGGGATAGTCCCAAAGAAGAACACAACCGAGATGAGGATGCTAATGGATCTAAAGCCCCCAACAAGAGATATCTGGTGCACCCTCCATACGGAAGTTGCGTTTGACGTTGAAAAAGGGAGATTGGCTTATCAGCCTAGATGTTACAGATGCATATCTTCACATCCAAATACACCCATCACCTAGGAAATATCTATGCTTCGCAATCAATGGCCTACGGTAAAAATTCCAACTCCTACCATTTTGGATAGCATAGCACCTTGGCTATTCACCAGGATTACAGCGCCAGTCATCAAGTTCGTCAATCTCCAGCTAGTCTGAATCCATGGTTATCTGGACGACATCTTAGCGGCAGACCAAGGGAAAGATCAGCTACATCAGAGCATGATATTCTTGGTCCAGCTTATGACTTACCTAGGTTTCAGCTAAGTCAGAGATCACTCCGGTCCAAGACATTATATACATCAGAGCAAGATTCCAGCTAGACAGGGGATATCTATGTCCACCAGCGGATCGATTTGACAAGACTATAAAGATGATTCAATCAATCTCAAGTCAACCCAGCAAGTCGCTGAGGTGGTGGATGTCTCTGCTAGGCAACTTGACATCTCTACAGGTTATGACCTTCAGAGGAAGGCTGAGGCTACGTCCTCTACAGACATGGGTCAACTCTACTCTCGAAGGGCCTAGAGTTCCAGTCTCAGTTACCTCCCACTTTGGTACAAGACCTCCAATGGTGTAATCACAGAGAACATGTGATGAGTGGCACCCCACGGACTTATCCGATGCCAGAAAATCATCTATTCACAGACGCGTCAGATTCGGGATGGGGAGCTCATATGGACAATCTCACAGTACAGGGATCGTGGAGCACACGAGAGAAGACCCTTCATATCAATTGCAAGGAAATGAAGGCCATCTATTCACCATCCTGGAATGGAGAACACAGCTTCATCTATCATCAGTTCTCATAGACACGGACAACACCACAGTAGTGGCCTATATCCAGAAACAGGGAAGAACCAAATCCACCTCACTGACGACGGAAACTACACAATTGTTTGCCTTGGCAGATTCCTTCAACTGCCGGATGGAAGTGAGACATATACCCGGGAAACTGAACATACTGGCCGACAACCACTCACGTCGGGGGAGAATAGTGGCAACAGAATGGACATTACATCCACAGATCTTCAGCTGGATAACCAAGCTATGGGACATACCACACATAGATCTATTTGCCACCTGCCAGAACAACCAACTCAGACACCAGCAGCATCAGAGGGTAAGTACACCCTTGATTACTCTGCTTATTTGGTGTAGGATGGATAAGAAGCACCTTAAATGTCATCTATCTCCATTAACCGGAAGTGACGTCATGACTGGAAGTGATAGAGAAACCAGAAGTTTTTTAACCGTATTTTCTTGAGTATAGTGCGCACCCGTGTATAATGCGCACCCCCCTCTAGCGGGTTCAATATTTTGAAAAAAAAAGAAATTTGAATATTATGCGCAGAAAAAAATTACACCGTACCCTTTCAGCGAAGTCCGGCAAACGAACGGGTGATGAGAAACTTCGTCAGTACAAATTCGAAATTTGAGATAAAAAATCACCAGACATGTTTATTTACAGATTAAATAGTATTTATTGTTCTGCTAGGCATTGTTTTATATCCAGGGATTAAGATTACCTTGTGTATTGTCTCGTAAACTAAGCCGGAAACAGCAATCAGCTGTACACATGTTTTCTTGGAATGATATAACTTTATAGGATTTTTAATGCAAGGATCAGCAAAAATTGTATCTGAAACTATTTTTTTTATCAGGAATAATATATTCCATTATTTTCTTAATTATATGCAGCCTTTACTAAACATATCAAGGCTCACGCGCACATGATCGCGTGATCGCGAGAATTTCATGTTGACATAGAATCGTCAAACAAAAACAAATATGACTTTTAACGAGTCAAAGTATATCATTTATGATATATGTATCCATTCTCTGTCAACTAAAGTTCGTTTCAAGGCGTCAATAGCGGTATTCTGACCGTGGTTGCTGTTAATAACGGTGAGTTGTGCGATCCTCCAATCGCTTCACACACGATTTCGCCGAAATTAATAAAAACAATATAAGAAGGAATTTTGAATAAAATTAATGAAATAAGTTACAAACATAAGTCCAGATATACAAATAACACTTTTTATAGCCAGACAGTGTAATTACATGATTATTTTGTGTACTTCAGTATGGATTTGTTGACATGGTATTTCCGGTGTTTCGTGCTCACGGTAATGTCTTTCCATGGGGGAAAAAAACATCCAAACTCATAATTCGTGTATAATGGGCACCCCCTTCCACACAACTGTTTTTTTTGGAAAAAAAGTGCGCACTATACTCAAGAAAATACGGTAAGCACTGGATATAGGTTTATTACGGTTTATTATGGTCAAAATCAGCAAATATAACAGTAAATCTGGTGATAATATCACATATTTGATGGATTATTGAGCTAGTTTTCTGATTTTCAAGTCCTCAATGGGAATTTCAGAGGAAATTATCTCAGCAGGACGAGAATCAGTACATTATGGTTTCCAGAAGAGGATTGCTGTCAATTACACAGGGAGTTACTAGAGGCAGATCCCACTGGGGTCCCTCTGGTATATTCTAGCAGAGATGTAATAGAGGTAGAGGTTTCGAAAGAATTATAGAGCAATAGTTATCATTGTTAATAATTCTCAGAATACAACCTCTATTACATACAAATTACTCCCTCCCACCTCCCCAATTCATCTATCTCTAGGAGGAGTTGAGGGAAAAAAGTGATATGGACGCCTTTGTGACGTCACCGCGTGGGTAGTTACGATACAACTTGGCGGCAACTAATTGTGTGTAATTGTCAGTGAAGAGGACGTCTGTTGAAAATCTGAAAATTTTAGTTAGTGTGATTGAAGCCAAAATACAGGATTTATAGCAGATATGTAATAGAGGTAGTATTCTTAGAATTATTAACAATGATAACTATTGTTCGATGTTGGTAATGTAGGTGTGGAGCCGGAGCCATTTGAGCTGGGTGAGCACCTGGTGGAGGCAAGTGGGAAGCTGGTGCTGATAGACAAGCTGCTGTGCCACCTGAAGCAGTCTGGACATAAGGTGCTCCTGTTCTCCCAGATGACACACATGCTGGACATCCTTCAGGACTACCTGGGGTATAGAGGTCAGTACAGTCAAGTGGGTATAGAGGTCAGTACAGCCAAGTGGGTACAGAGGTCAGTACAGTCAAGTGGGTACAGAGGTCAGTACAGTCAAGTGGGTATAGAGGTCAGTACAGTCAAGTGGGTATAGAGGTCAGTACAGTCAAGTGGTTACAGAGGTCAGTAGGGTCAAGTGGGTATAGAGGTCAGTACAGTCAAGTGGGTATAGAGGTCAGTACAGTCAAGTGGTTACAGAGGTCAGTAGGGTCAAGTGGGTATAGAGGTCAGTACAGTCAAGTGGGTATAGAGGTCAGTACAGTCAAGTGGTTACAGAGGTCAGTACAGTCAAGTGCTTACAGAGGTCAGTAGGGTCAAGTGGTTACAGAGGTCAGTACAGTCAAGTAGATATAGAGGTCAGTACAGTCAAGTGGTTACAGAGGTCAGTAGGGTCAAGTGGTTACAGAGGTCAGTAGAGTCAAGTGGTTACAGAGGTCAGTAGGGTCAAGTGGGTATAGAGGTCAGTACAGTCAAGTGGGTATAGAGGTCAGTACAGTCAAGTGGGTATAGAGGTCAGTAGGGTTAAGTGGTTACAGAGGTCAGTAGGGTCAAGTGGGTATAGAGGTCAGTACAGTCAAGTGGGTATAGAGGTCAGTACAGTCAAGTGCTTACAGAGGTTAGTACACTCAAGTGCTTACAGAGGTCTGTACAGTCAAGTGGTTACAGAGGTCAGTACAGTCAAGTGCTTACAGAGGTCAGTACACTCAAGTGGTTACAGAGGTCAGTACAGTCAAGTAGATATAGAGGTCAATACAGTCAAGTGGGTATAGAGGTCAGAACAGTCAAGTGGTTACAGAGGTCAGTACGGTCAAGTGGGTATAGAGTTCAGTACAGTCAAGTGGGTATAGAGGTCAGTAGGGTTAAGTGGGTATAGAGGTCAGTAGGGTTAAGTGGTTACAGAGGTCAGTAGGGTCAAGTGGGTATAGAGGTCAGTACAGTCAAGTGGGTATAGAGGTCAGAACAGTCAAGTGGTTACAGAGGTCAGTACAGTCAAGTGGGTATGGAGGTTAGTACAGTCATGTGGGTTTAGAGGTCAGTACAGTCAAGTGGGTATAGAGGTCAGTACAGTCAGGTGGTTACAGAGGTCAGAACAATCATGTGGTTACAGAGGTCAGTACCGTCAAGTTGTAAGAGTTGTCAGGTGGTGTGTTTCCTTCTAAAGTAAACTGCCAGTTGCTTGTTGTCAACCTGGGTTACAGAGGTCAGTAGTGTCCAGTGTTCAGTTGCTTGTGTCAGGGTTTAGCTGTGTTACAGAGGTAAGTAGGGTCCAGTGATCAGTTGCTTGTGTCAGGGTTTAGCTGTGTTACAGAGGTAAGTAGGGTCCTGTGATCAGTTGCTTGTGTCAGGGTTTAGCTGTGTTACAGAGGTAAGTAGGGTCCTGTGATCAGTTGCTTGTGTCAGGGTTTAGCTGTGTTACAGAGGTAAGTAGGGTCCTGTGATCAGTTGCTTGTGTCAGGGTTTAGCTGTGTTACAGAGGTAAGTAGGGTCCTGTGATCAGTTGCTTGTGTCAGGGTTTAGCTGTGTTACAGAGGTAAGTAGGGTCCAGTGTTCAGTTGCTTGTGTCAGGGTTTAGCTGTGTTACAGAGGTAAGTAGGGTCATGTGATCAGTTGCTTGTGTCAGGGTTTAGCTGTGTTACAGAGGTCAGTAGTGTCCAGTGTTCAGTTGCTTGTGATGGTCCAGTGTTCAGTTGCTTGTGTCAGGGTTTAGCTGTGTTACAGAGGTAAGTAGGGTCCTGTGATCAGTTGCTTGTGTCAGGGTTTAGCTGTGTTACAGAGGTAAGTAGGGTCCTGTGATCAGTTGCTTGTGTCAGGGTTTAGCTGTGTTACAGAGGTCAGTAGTGTCCAGTGTTCAGTTGCTTGTGTCAGGGTTTAGCTGTGTTACAGAGGTAAGTAGGGTCCTGTGATCAGTTGCTTGTGATGGTCCAGTGTTCAGTTGCTTGTGTCAGGGTTTAGCTGTGTTACAGAGGTAAGTAGGGTCCTGTGATCAGTTGCTTGTGTCAGGGTTTAGCTGTGTTACAAAGGTCAGTAGGGTCCTGTGATCAGTTGCTTGTGTCAGGGTTTAGCTGTGTTACAGAGGTAAGTAGGGTCCTGTGATCAGTTGCTTGTGTCAGGGTTTAGCTGTGTTACAGAGGTAAGTAGGGTCCTGTGATCAGTTGCTTGTGTCAGGGTTTAGCTGTGTTACAGAGGTAAGTAGGGTCCTGTGATCAGTTGCTTGTGTCAGGGTTTAGCTGTGTTACAGAGGTCAGTAGGGTCCAGTTGTTGGTTGCTCATGAGGATCTAGTCCTATGGACTCTAATCCCCAAATCAGAGTTGTTGGTCCAAGGACTTATGAATGGGTGGCTGAAAAGTTCTGAGCCAAACTACGAAGGATGTATTTGCCCCAACAGTTTGCATGTATTCAGGACAATACTTTCCATGCTGACAGGCTGCACACTCAACCAGGCACCATATTTCTTCAGGCATCAAAGTGACTAGGTATTCACTGTTGATGAAAATTAAGAAAGGTATCATCAAGTATCTCCAACTTAAAGTGCTAACTCCAACAGCCAACCATGCAAACATGGTGTCAACCTTTAGGGGATGATGCTCCTTCTTGAGGATTTCAAGATGACCAATACAGTAAGCATCTCATGAGGGAGTTGAGAACATTCTCAAGAATGAAGTGGTCATGACAAAAGTTTCAGCACACTGGGTTCCAGGGCTCCTGATCAGAAACACTCAAGGTTCATCATCTCTTGTGAGAATTGACATCGAAGCAGACCCAGCTGATTTTGTTAAGCGAGTTGTAACCATGGGTGAGTCTTGGGTTCACCACTATCAGCCAGAGATTAAACAATAGTCGAAGCAGTGGAAACTTCTGATGTCTCTTCCTCCAAAGAGGGCAAAGTCTGTTTCATCAGCTGGCAATAAGGACTTTTCCCATAAGGTCAGAACATTAATGGCCAGTGTTAGGCTGATCTGCATGAGCAACTGTTTGAGAATACCAACATCCACCTGATTTGGCACTGAAGAATGCCACATCTTCCCAAACTTGAAGAAAGAACTGTCTGGGAAGCATGATGCAAATGGTGATGTCATTATGTCTCCCCCAGAATGGAGGGAGACATATTGTTTTTGGCACGGTTCCCGTCGGCGTCGGCGTTGGCGTTGGCGTTGGCGTCGGCGTTGGCGTCGGCGTCAGCGTCGGCGTTCCCACCGTTTCCGGACCATAACTCAGAAACCGTTTAATATTTTTTCGCAAAACTTTGTATACACATTAACCCAGCACTGAAGTGGTGCCTTTTGCTATTTAGAGATTTTTGACATTTTTATTTTTTCTCGTTTCCATGGAGATAACTTGAACATAGACTCTGAATGGGGGTAAGCTTGGTTTCCGGACCATAACTCGGAAACCGTTTAATATTTTTTCGCGAAACTTTGTATACACATTAACCCAGCACTGAAGTGGTGCCTTTTGCTATTTAGAGATTTTTGACATTTTTATTTTTTCTCGTTTCCATGGAGATAACTTGAACATAGGCTCTGAATGGGGGTAAGCTTTGTTTCCTGACCATAACTCAGAAACCGTATAATATTTTTTCGCGAAACTTTGTATACACATTAACCCAGCACTGAAGTGGTGCCTTTTGCTATTTAGAGATTTTTGACATTTTTATTTTTTCTCGTTTCCATGGAGATAACTTGAACATAGACTCTGAATGGGGGTAAGCTTGGTTTCCGGACCATAACTCGGAAACCGTTTAATATTTTTTTGCGAAACTTTGTATACACATTAACCCAGCACTGAAGTGGTGCCTTTTGCTATTATGAGATTTTTGACATTTTTATTTTTTCTCGTTTCCATGGAGATAACTTGAACAGACTCTGAATGGGGGTAAGCTTGGTTTCCGGACCATAACTCGGAAACCGTTTAATATTTTTTCGCGAAACTTTGTATACACATTAACCCAGCACTGAAGTGGTGCCTTTTGCTATTATGAGATTTTTGACATTTTACTTTTTCTCGTTTCCATGGAGATAAGTTGAACAAAGCCCTGAATGGGGGTAAGCTTTGTTTCCTAACCATAACTCAGAAACCGTTTAATATTTTTTTCGCGAAACTTTGTATACACATTAACCCAGCACTGAAGTGGTGCCTTTTGCTATTTAGAGATTTTTGACATTTTTATTTTTTCTCGTTTCCATGGAGATAAGTTGAACAAAGCTCTGAATGGGGGTAAGCTTTGTTTCCTGACCATAACTCAGAAACCGTTTAATATTTTTTCGCGAAACTTTGTATACACATTAACCCAGCACTGAAGTGGTGCCCATTAGTTGTTTGAAATTTCTAGGAGTTCTATTTTTGTCTCTGTTATTTAGTAATGGAGGGTGGGAATGAAGAGATGGGGTTTAACGTGAAGTAAACGAATGAATGGGGGTTAGGGGAGTGGGGGGAGACATATGTTTTTACGAGTAAAAACACTTTCTAGTTCTGCTGTAGTGGACTTTTTACACCACCAGGAGGAAGACTTCTACACCAAGAGGATGCAGGCACTCCAGAAGTTGTCAGAAGTGTGTTGACCTCAGAGGGGATATGTTGAAAATTTATTCACAGCCATCTCCATCAATGCAGTCCATCATATTTAGGCTCAGAGCTTTTCAACCACTCCCCATATTCTACTTTGTAAGACATCTTCACATTGGACACATGGATCATAAGGTGATGATCCTAATGTGGCATCTCTTATTAAGATATTTTTTTATGATATACATTTCTTATCACTTTCGGTATTCCTATTTGTTGTAGATTTTACATATGAACGTCTGGATGGGTCAGTCCGAGGGGAAGAAAGGTTTCTCTCTGTCCGTAATTTCAATGAGAACGATGAAACCTTTGTCTTTCTTCTCAGCACAAAAGCAGGTCAGTGGGTTTTTTATCTATTTCATAAAGCCATGTGATGTCACATCAGTGATGTCATGTTGCGTTAGCCTCAGCTATCTCATTACTATCTGTTGTTCAGGTGGTCAAGGGATCAACCTGACTGCTGCTGATACGGTTATCTTTGTGGACAGTGACTTCAACCCGCAGAACGACCTCCAAGCTGCTGCCAGAGCTCACAGGATTGGACAGACAAGGTGCGTTGATCCCGACTTCCTGATTTGAAAGTCGCAATCCTCACAGTATGTGCTTTCCAAGGTCTTTACAATGAAAATTCTCTGTAAGATGATGCCCCAACTGGCACAGGCCATAGATCCTGTGTTTTTATTGTGATTTTTGTATTAACATGTGTGCTAAAGTTACCTGCTTTTGGTCAAGTGATCTGCCAATGTATCATGGTTTGTCTCTAGAAAGGTCGTTCTCAATATGATTAATTTTTTACTTATCCTGTATTACTCCTTAACGCATTCACTGCTAACCTTACGGCAACAAGAAGACAGCGCAACGGCGATGGTCTCGGGTGAAGAATATAGATGTTGATTCCAAGGCCAACTTTTATACAGACCATCACCATGGTCATGTGACCTTGATGACAAGTCACCTTCTTCACCTCACTGCTTGTCGCGCTACAGCAAGGACGTGTCCCAGCGGAGCTGATCAAATTAGACTGATTTAGACCTTCAGGTTTCGGCTGTAATTCTTAAATTGGTCTGCGATGGGTGATGCATTCCTTTCATATAACTTTCACCATGTTGTGTGGTTTTATGTGGATTATTTAGGCATAAGAAGACTCTATCTTTTTTTCTTGTCACGTGCTTGTTGTTGTCTGGCATTTTGAATTTGTGTTACAATTGTTTGCCTGCCAACGTAGTCAAATTGTTTACAATTCTCAGCTATGTATGTATAACATATTCATGTGTTTTTAAATACTAGTAGCTTTGGCGTTACATTGAGTATACACTTTCAATTGTAAAAAGAGAACATTGTTCAATTCTACGACACTTTTCCAATCCCTTTTCATTAACAATTCTTTATTTGCGTAACTTATGCTTGCGTGTTGCACTAATTGCCGTTGAAAAAAATCTTCCAAGGACCCTCATCCACGTTGTTTGGCATGCAGGTAGTTTTGCTGGGCAAACTCTAAATGTAATTTTTGTGTAAATCCCTCTCCAGCGAGTTTTACAATATATAGGCAGGTTACTCACAAACATATTTTGCAGCAATCCCATCGTGTGGCGAGGAAGATGACATCAGGTGTAAGGATCCACTCAAGGCCATCACTCTACCGGTTCAGCTAAGGACTTACTTCAATTAGTGTACAGTAGAGTCGAATGTCTTAGGAGGAGTCTCTTTATCCGGGATATCCCCAAATCTTTACCTATTTGTAGACGCCTCCCTTCAGGGGTGGGGTGTTCACCTGTAAGGCCAGACAGCCTCAGGGCTATGGTCCAGCGCTCATCAAAAGTGGCACAGTGACAGTTGGAAGCGATAATTCTGGCCATATCCAATTGGCAGAATCAGGTACAGTCTACCCAACTTCAATATCCACAGACAACAGCACTGTGGTGTGGTGCCTGGCGCAATCAGGGCACAACGCACTCCCACCCCCTGCTTCAACAGACATTCAGGTTTTTCTATCTAGTGGATTGTCTGTAACTACAGTTCATAGTTCAACTAGTGGATCGTCCAGACAGGAGTGGCTCCCTCCGAGTGTAAACTTCACACAGAAGCATTCGAGTTACTGCTTCAGAAGTTTGGGCAATCAAACATTGACCTGTGTGCTACATGCCAAAACCACCAACTCATGATGTATGTATGTTACATGCAGTCATCCTTCAGGCTTACGAGATCGCCAAACTGGATCCCCCAAGAGCGAATAACCCTCATGAGATCAGGGCGCTCGACATCTGGTTTTGCCCCTCTTGTTGTAGTCCAGCAGGTTACCAACCCCCGACATAAATAATGAACTCACCCTATACAGAGCCAGTCTACTTCCCTGTGCAAGTCGCTGAGATTCGGCAAGTGGAAGAATATTAGAGACAAGCTTTTTTGTCAGACATGGGCTCTATGACATAGTAAGTTAAGAATTATCTGGCTAGCTATTATTTTCTTTATTACTAAATAGGGAACTACTCTTTAATTCCTATGTTCAATCTGTTTGATATTTAAACAACCCTACCGTAATGGCGTTTTTTCCACTTCACGGTTTATCGACCGTAGTGTATTCTCCTTATAGTTGTTTACATCTTGTGTGATACAGTTTCCCGCAATATCCAAGTACACATTATCTCGTTACGTCATATGATGACGTCATGTAGGGATGCGATGTCTGAGTAAACTATGATGGCTTCCTTCCATGTTCTGTTGTGTTTGGCGTGCATACTCCCGAGCATAAATGTATGTCATGTTTTCAGGGTGTGAATTATGGAGGTTTTTGTACTTCTGAAGGTTTCCCGCCTCCACACTGTGCGATACAGATGCATTAAGGAGTAATGCAGGATAAGGGAAAAATTTAATAAAATCTGAATATTTTTTACATTTGTATAGTTTACTACTGCATCACTACGTTTAAGGATCCCCTGTCGCAGACTTGCCTCCCCACTTTGGCTTCAGAAAGCTCAAAAGTAAGTTTTATAAGTTCAGGCGACAGGCAGTGATGTGAAGAAGGTGACTTGTCATCAAGGTCACATGACAGTGGCGATGGTCCGTATAAAAGTGGGACTTGGAATCAACATCTTTATTTCTTCACAGCATTGCGCTATCTTCTTGTCGTAAGGTAAGCAGTGAATGCATTAAGGAGTAATGCAGGATAAGTATGCAAATGTAAAAAATATTTAGATTTTACTAATATTGTATATTTGTGTAAAACTAAAGGTTCTGATTATTCATGATATGTTACTTTATGTTATGGTTTTGTGAAATGTGCAATGATGCTGATCAATCAGGCCAGTGAAGGTGATCCGACTGATCGGGCGCAACTCGGTGGAGGAGATTATTCTGGCCAGAGCTGAGCAGAAGCTGAAACTGACCGACAAGGTGATAGAGAGTGGTCAGTTCACTGCTGGCGGGAAGCATGTACTGTTTGCAGACAACAGACAACAGGTAGCAAATATTTCAAATATCTGTGTTGTCTTCTATTTTCATGAGCCTGCTTGAACTGGTGAAGATAAAAATAGTTGCTTCTCCTTTGTGTCACATTTCAAGCAGTGACAAGAACTATTGAAGTGCTGCAAGTGGTGTTGATGAGTTTGTGAAATATCAGTTTGTTTCAGAACTATACTGAATTGCAAAAGAAACATCACCCCAAGTAACATTACACAAAAAGTGGTTATTTAAATATCTGGGTAATTTTTGTCAAAGTGTCTAAAATTTAACATCTACCACATGCCAAGATTGACAAGAAATCAGCGACACCAAGCCCTTGGACGATTGCAAGCTGGACTCCCGGCAAGTAGCCAATGCATTTCAAGTCCACGTAAGGACCATATACAGGCTCCAGCAACGGTACCAGACCACCAACACTAGAGATGACCGACCACGTAGTGGAAGACCAAGGGTCTCCACCCAACATCAGGATCATCAGATTGTGCGACAGCATCTTCAAGATCGCTTTGTTACTGCTGCGGAAAAGGGGGCACGGGTGGCCCAGTCGTCTAAGGTGCCGCGATTCGCTGTGCAGAGTTGCGTCCCTTTGGCACGCCAGAAACCTATGATTGTGGGTTCGAATACTGGTTCGCCCCAATTATGTTTCTAGGTTTGTCAGCACCATACCAGTGCTCGTGGGTTTCACCGAAGTGGTAAACGTCTGAGACCTGCATCACTTCGGGCTTTCTTTCCTCCCACATCTAGCTGACACGCCGTGATATAACTGGAATACTGTTTAAAGCGGCGTAAAACCCAACTCACTCACTCGCTACTGCTACGGAAACAAAACTGCTCGACAGACCATGGGGACATACCAGCGACACATTAGTGCGGACACTGTGTGTCGACGATTGACAAGCAGACACCTCCACTGTCACAGGCCACATTGAGGACCCATTCTGACACAACGCCGGGAACGTCTTCAGTGGGCAACACATCACCAGCATTGGCGACACCAGCAGTGGAGAAGAGTCCTCTTCTCAGATGAGAGCCGTTACTGTATCTCAGCAGCAGATGGCAGAGAGAGAGAGTCTGGCGACGCCGTGGGGAACAATATTCAGATGCTTGTGTTGTTGAGACTCGTGTGGTGGTCCGAGCATCATGGTGTGGGGTGGAATTGGTCTTGCACAGAGGTTTGGCCCTGTGGTCTTCCAGAACATCAGTCCAGGGAGCGGCAATGGTGTCACAGCAGCTTGGTACATTGATCAAGTCTTGAGACCACATGCCATACCTCATTTGGCTTGTCGCCGCAACCACGAGTTTCAGCATGATAACGCCCGTGCCCACACTGCGAGAGCAACAAATGACTTCCTCCAGCAGAATGGCATCAGAACCATGCAGTGGCCTTTAAATTCCATTGAGCATTCCATTGTGGCACGAGATTCAAAGACGGCCGACAACTGCAGCTGAACTGCGTCAGGCGTTCCTCAGAGTGTGGAATCAAGTGCCTATGGCCTTCATCAACCGCCTCATCCATTCCATGTATCGACGTTGCACGGTAGTCATCAAAGTACATGGCGGACACACGAGATACTGACTTGTGATGCCATTTTCTCAGAGACTAGTGTTGTGTTTCACTTTAAGAACATTTGACACTATAATTTCAACCTTGATGATCAGTTTTGCCAAGTTTCATCTTTTTAATATGTCTCAAAGTATGTTTACAGTGTTTGGACAAATAAGATTTCTCATATATCCATCCATGGTGACGTTACTTTTGCAGCTCAGTATATATTCAGAACAGCTTCCTACCAATTTGTACTATGTGGTAAATTATCCTATTTTTTCTAAAAAAAACATGTACTTACTGTTATAAGATAATGTATCACTGAGACTGTACAACAAGTGTGCAAAGTTTGTGACCAGAGTGGTGATCGAGATCTAACAGTTTGATGAAACAGCGGTCACAATAACATGGCAGCTCTGATCTGTGGTCTGTGATCTGTATCAGCTTCAAGATGTCCTGAGGTTTGGTGTAGACAAGCTGCTGAATGCTGATGAGGATGACAGCAGTGACATGGACCTGGAGAAGTACTTGGGAATCAGCATCGATGGGGAGTGGCAGCTGGAAGAGGAGGTGGAGGAGGAGGAGGCGCCCCAGACAGGGGAGGTCAGTCTGCACAATACTTTCATGCTCTGGTTCCAAGCCCTAATGACTGGGATGCCTGGGACTTGACTAATATATAATAAACTCCTTATGCGCCCTAGATGTAACTGGTCATGTCAGTATGAAATGTGTTTAAGGTGTGGTTTAGTGTTGTGTGACATAGGGCGAGATCAGGGATGATGCCCCCAGAGCATGTTAGTGTTTAAGGTACAGTGTAGTGTTGTGTTGTGTTGTGTTGTACAGGACAAGATGGGTGAAGATAACCTCCAGAGCATGTTAGTGTTTAAGGTACGGTGTAGTGTTGTGTTGTGTTGTGTTGTACAGGACAAGATGGGTGAAGATAACCCAAAAACATGTTAGTGTTTAAGGTACGGTGTAGTGTTGTGTTGTGTTGTGTTGTACAGGACAAGATGGGTGAAGATAACCCTAGAGCATGTTAGTGTTTAAGGTACGGTGTAGTGTTGTGTTGTGTTGTGTTGTACAGGACAAGATGGGTGAAGATAACCTCCAGAGCATGTTAGTGTTTAAGGTACGGTGTAGTGTTGTGTTCTGTTGTGTTGTACAGGACAAGATGGGTGAAGATAACCTCCAGAGCATGTTTGTGTTTAAGGTACGGTGTAGTGTTGTGTTGTGTTGTACAGGACAAGATGGGTGAAGATAACCCTAGATCATGTTAGTGTTTAAGGTACGGTGTAGTGTAGTGTAGTGTTGTGTTTTGTTGTGTTGTACAGGACAAGATGGGTGAAGATAACCCCAGAACATGTTAGTGTTTAAGGCACGGTGTAGTGTTGTGTTGTGTTGCACAGGACAAGATGGATGAAGATGCTCCGCAGAGCATGTACGTGTTTGAAGGCACGGACTACTCTAAGGACACCACTGTTGCTGACAGAAAGGCTTTGGAAGAACTACTTGAAGGTTCGTCAGTGTAGGTTTACTTCTTTGAATGGTAACCTTGATACCTTTCACTTACATGGGTGGGAAAATGGTCATAAGACGGCAAAACTAGCATTCATAAATATGTAACAAAGCTTGCTGTTGTAACATTTTGTATGAGAGCCTGTGACTTACATATTGAAATGAGCTTCTTAATACACAAAAGTAAAAGGCACTGTTTATGATTGTGTAGGAAATCTGTGTTAGTCTTACTGCTCCTAATGTTGTGTTGTCAGTGGAGCGCATTGTGCAGTCTGACGTTGCATCAGGGGAGAGAACTCTACGTGTCAAGAAGGAGAAGAGCCTTGTGGGCCCACTGCCTGATCTCCAGCGCAAACCCCGCAAACAGCTGACCCCCCAGGAGCTGGAGGAGCACAAGAGGAGGGTACGGGCATGTGACACTGTAGTATTACTGTAGGGTGGCTTCCTAGCTGGTATACATGCAGTGACAGTATACATGTCTATATCGTTGTGGGTTATGGGAAGGCTTTTATCAAATGATTCATGGTGTTATCAATGTGAGAAACTAATCCGACAAACTGAATATCTCAATACAATAAATATGCAAATAAAGTCTTTTAATAGGCTTCATATATCAATGTATTTGGATCAGATATTGTTACAGTTGTGTATGTTTAGACAATCTCATTAAAATCAGATCTTAGTTCTTGCTACCGCTAAACAAAGATCTGAGGACATCCCATTACGGGTCACGTCAGACCGACCTTTCGTGAACTTTGACCGATCAATGGAATAACTAACTAACTAAGTCGACAATAGCCAATCAGAAGGCAGCTTATTCGAGCTTTACGGCACAAGTTTCAAACTGGCTAATTCGCTTGGAAACATATTTTGACATACGCTCGATTAAAAAATTAAAAATTAAGCAAAAGAACATTCTGGAATGGCTAACAGATGGTCTTGATTGAATGAATACAGACATAAAGCCCATAACTGTAGTTCGGAATACCCTATGTGTGTTTTTTTCGAGGTTGCACGATCAAAAATCACATTCCAACCGTCACTTTCATGATCTGATAAGCGATGCTCTGATTGGTCAGATCAAAGGTCGTTCTGACATGACCCGCAATGGGATGTCTTCAGATCTTTGTTTAGCGGTAGCAAGAACTAAGATCTGATTTTAATGTGATTGATGTTTGGATGGATGATGATACACTTGTGTTTGTTTGGAAGTGGTGTTGCAATTAGTTGTTGCCAAGTAGCATCATAACCACCCAAGCTATGACAAAAGCAATGGCAGCATCCTCACTTTTTTCCCGTGCAGCTAGAGTCAACGCCTATTGTAATAGTAGTAACGATCTAGCGCTTGGTAGTGAGTCGGTAGTTAATCTGAGATTCTAATAGTTTTCTATAATAACAGACAATAAGTAGATATTAATAGCTGCTGGAGTGACGGTCACACGCATGTAAGTAAAGCTGGTGCTTGGTGTTTGTGAGGTCAGAATGGAGTCTCCATCTACCCCCGGGTGCAAGAAGTGTTTCCGTTTCATGATCACGGGAGATCGTCATGATAACTGGATGAAGTGTAGAGGCACTTCCTGCAATGAAGATAAGAGATGTGGGAAGTGCCCCAACACATCTAAAAGACCTTCACTAAGATAGCCGAGGCATTAAGTAAGGCTAAGAGGCACGAGGCCACCAAGAAGAGGGTGGAGTACAAATCAACTTCCACCCCAGCGTCTCCCACTCCAGCTGATCAACCATCTCCTGCACTCTCTATGAGTCTTATTCAACAACTCTTCAGCAGGAGATGATGAATAATATGTTTGAGGCGAAGCTCTCAACCCTGGATGAAGAGATAGAGAAAATCAAGGAGATAGCTCTGGCAAAGAAGAATTCCCTGGTCACGAGACCATTAGGGGGATGCCATCTGTGCAATCATCACACACGGCCATAGCTGAGCTGTGAGGCCAGCCATCCGACCACCCGGGTATAAGCCAGCAGACCTTTCCCTACCATGAGACAATACCATACAGGAGCTGCACAGTATCCATGGACCAGCCGTCCACGGCAACCAAGCCATCCAGCCAGCCGACCAGTCAGCCGACCAGCCAGCCGACCAGCCAGCCGACTGTTAAGACACCGGACAGTAATCCCACGGACTCCATTGGCCAGCCGTTTATGGCAACCCAGCTGACCGACAAGCGGTCCAGCCAGCCAACCGTTAAGACACCGTACGACTCCATGTCGACGGTCCAGCAAATCAGCTTACCGTATGATCTCCATCAACCGTCAACAGACTACACGTGATTGTCCAGACAACTGACTGGTCCACCGAGAAGATAGCTACCGTATGGCTACCGTTACTCACGGACCATCGCAAGCCACATGGAGGTTAATCATACCGGAATCATGGACACCACGAGGTAGACACGGAGAATTACTATGATTATCCACCCCCCATGGAAGCTACCCACAGTCACATGGAAGCAGAAACGGAGTGTTTTGAAGATAAGGCTGACGACTAACCTCAGCGGGATTACACAGAGGGTTATATATTCATCGAATTAATAGAAGAATTACCTGTACTCCAGCCTCCTGTGACAGAATTCGCCACCCCAGATGCCGGAATATGGGGGATGTCATGCTCCTACATCGTCTCAACACATTCCACAGACATTACCTTGGCCTACTACGCAGGTAAGGTAGTAGACCAGATGACAAGCTCAAGCATGATGAACGGCTACCCTAACCTCCATTGAAGCGGAAGCTATATAGGACGCACGAGGCACCACTTCTGGAATTCCTAAGTATGATCGAGGATTTCAACAAGTTGGTACGCAACCCCAACACTAGCTTCACGTTATCACATTGTTCATGGATTAAGGATCTTACATCGGTTTCCAGATACTCAATGGATTTTGGCACTCACATTAACTGGTTTGTCGCTCAGACACATCATTCCACCATTACACCACTACATGCTAAAACTCGTATCAATTTATGGTTCCGTGTTTGTTACCTATTTGCTTAAAACCACTTGCGTTTCTTTTGCGTGTGAGTATACATTGGAGCAAGATTCCAACTAAACACGGGATATCTATGCCCACCAGAGGATCGATTCATCAAGACTACCATGATGATTAAATCCCTATCAAGTCAACCCAGCAAGTCACTGAGGTGGTGAATGTCTCCTCTAGGCAACTTAACTTCTCTACATGATATGACCTTCAGAAGAAGGCTGATGCTACGTCCTCAACAGACATGGATCAACTCTATAAGATCCCAGAGCCTAGAGTTCAAGACTCAGTTACCTCCTAACTTAGTATGAGACCTGCATTGGTGGAATCACCATCTATTTACAGACAGGATGGGGATGGGGAGCCAATATGGACGATCGCTCGGTACAGTGATCTTGGAATGCCGGGGAGAAGAACCTTCATAACAACTGCAGGGAAGGAATGCCATCTATTACGCCATCCTGGAATGGCAGATACATCTTTCCCAATCGTCCGTCCTCATAGCCACGGACAACACCACAGTAGTGGTCTACATTCAGAAGCAGGGAGGAACCAGATCCAGCTCCCTGATGACGGAGACTACATGATTGTTTGCATGGCAGACTCCTTCAATACCAGGAAAACTGAACATCCTTGTCGACAGCCTTTCCAGTCAGGGGAGAATAGTGGCAACAGAATGGACACTACATCCACAGATCTTCGCTTGGATAACCATGTTATGCGACACACCACACCTGGATCTATTTGTCACATGCCAGAACTACCAACTTCCAGCTTATGTCAGTCCAGTTCCCGACCCAAGAGCTCACCAGATCGACGCACTATCGATGGATTGGACAGGTCTGTTTGCTTATGCATTCCCACCATGGTCTCTCCAAGACAAAGTCATCCACAAGCTCCAGTATGGCCCAGCTGGGGTTTGTTCCCCAGACTGCTAAGACTACTGGACCTCTCTGTCAAAACCTGTTGGGACAACCCAAGTCCAGCTTTTTCCACAGCAATCTGTCCTGCCTACATCTAACAGCTTGGAAGTTATCAAACAGAAAATGCAGACATCTGGATACTCTGAGGTTGCTTCAGAAGCGGTGGCAAGATCATGGAGACCTTCATCCTCCCCTTTATTTGACAACAGATGGGATAAGTTCGTCCAGTGGAGAAGATTACAAGGGATTTGAACTAATGCTATATCCATCCCTATGGTAGGGTATTTTTTCCTACATCTATGTCAGGATAATAAATTCCGACATGGGACGATAGAAGGTTATAGATCAGCTCTTCACTCTGTACTTCAACATGACGGATTATCAATCAGAAACCATCCGATTCTAAACAGACTTGTGAGATCCTTTCTACTAGAAGATGTTTGAACACGTCATATCTTCCCCAAGTGGAATCTATCTGTGGTACTATTGGCACTGTTAACAGAACCTTATGAGCCCATGGCTAAAGCTACCTTACTCCAAAAAGCAAGGAAAGTTTCCTTCCTCCTAGTCATGGCGACAGCAGCAAGAGTTTCAGAACTACATGCCTTAGACTATTCTAGTCTCACCCATGACCAACATTGGCCTCAATAACTCTAAGATCGATTCCAGATTTCGTAGCCAAGAATCAATCAATCAACCACATTTGGACTGTTGGGTCATAGACACTATACCATTCCTGCCTTGGGACCAACAGTAGATCACCCAGGAAGACTTTTATGTCTCATCAGAGCTCTCAAGTTCTATCTCACGGCTACAGACCCACATAGACGCCATCGAAGGAGACTCTTCTTATCTTGCAAGACTAATTCCAACAAGGACATCACCAAGGCTACAATAGCGGGCTGGCTAATATAGCTACCGTTGCATCAAGTTATACACAGGCTCAGAATTCCGCGCCACATCTCGGATCCTGCTCAGGTCAGGAAATCAGAGCCCTCGCCAAGAGTCTCGCTTCATGGACATCAGTCTCAGAAGAACAAGTAGTTTCTAGCTGTCAATGGGCTTCACAAAACACCTTCACCAGCTTTTAGCTTTTACTTCCGTGATGTGCAACCGGACCTTGAGGGCATTTATTCCCTTGGTCATCAGAGGGTGAGTACACCCTTGATTATTTCTGTCTATTAGGTGGATTAGAAGCACCTTGAGTATCAACTGCCTCCAGTAGACCGGAAGAGACGTCAGCACAGGAAGTGAGAACATAACCGGAAGTGACATCAGCACCAGAAATAACAGAACAAGGTCCATCTAAACAGGAAATGACATCTTAGAAATAGACCTTGAGAGACGTCATTACCTAGTAAAAGGGAAGTGACAAACCGGAAGTGAGGTCAGCACCGGTATTAGTGTCACAAATCCAAATTTAACAAGAAATGACATCATTAAGCAGAAATAGATCAGAAACGACATCATTATTACGTTCAAGATCAGCAAATAATTCTAGTGAAGGTATCACATATTTGACTGATTCTTGACATGTTTCTGATTTTCAAGTCCTCAGGGGGGAATTTCAGAGGAAATTATCTCGAGTTAGGATTAGAATCAGTAAAAAATGGTTACCAGAAGAGGATTACTGTCAATTACACAGGGAGTTACTAGAAGCAGATCCTACCGGGTCCCTCTGGTATATAAGTTTTTTAAGAATTATTGAACAATATTTCTAAGAATACTACCTCTAATACATCCGAAGTACTCCCTCACACATACCCAATTCATCTACCTCTAGTAGTTAGATGTGGGAAAAAAGGTGAGGTTGCCGCCATTACTTACGTCATTAGCTTGGTGGTTACGATGCTACTTGACAACAACTAGTTGTCTGTGTAATTACAGTGAAGACAATGTCTGTTGAAAGTCTGAAAATTTTAGTTAGTGTGATTGAAGCCAAATACAGGATTTATGGCAGAGATGTAATAGAGGTAGTATTTTTAGAATTATTAACAATGGTATCTATTGTTCGATGTTTGGATACGATGTTCTTATGATTGTGTATGTTTGGATGCAATGTTGTTACAATTCAGCATGTTTATGTGTGATGTTGTTACAATTGTTTATATGCCTATATTACAGAGGAAGGAAGCGGCAGAGAAGCGTGCAAAGCTAGCCGAGGAACAAGAGATACGACGAGCTCAGGAGCAGCGCAAGAAGAGGTGAGCTGGCATAATTCCAGTCAGATGGTTTGGACGCCCTGAATCCAATAAAAAAAAAGCACCATATTCGACCAAACTTCAAATTAATTATGTAATTATAGTACAGGGTATCATTTGGGCACTATTGATCAACTAGAATTTTCAACTGCCATGTGTACACAGACAGAATGACAGTCCATCGTGCCATGTGTACACAGACAGAAAGACAGTCCAACTGGCCATGTGTATACAGACAGAATGACAGTCCAACTGGCCATGTGTACACAGACAGAATGACAGTCCAACTGGCCATGTCTATACAGACAGAATGACAGTCCAACTGGCCATGTGTACACAGACAGTATGACAGTCCAACTGGTCATGTCTCTACAGACAGACTGACAGGCCAACTGGCCATGTGTATACAGACAGAATGACAGTCCAACTGGCCATGTGTATAGAGACAGAATGACAGTCCAACTAGCCATGTGTACGCAGACAGAATGACAGTCCAACTGGTCAAGTGTACACAGACAGAATGACAGTCCAACCGGCCATGTATATAGACATTATGACCGTCCATCTTGCCATGTGTATACAGACAGAATGACAGTCCAACTGGCCATGTGTACACAGACAGAATGACAGTCCAACTGGCCATGTGTACACAGACAGGATGACAGTCCAACTGGCCATGTGTATACAGACAGTATGACAGTCCAACTGGCCATGTGTACACAGACAGGATGACAGTCCAACTGGCCATGTGTACACAGACAGAATGACAGTCCAACTGGCCATATGTATACAGACAGAATGACAGTCCAACTGGCCATGTGTATAGAGACAGAATGACAGTCCAACTGGCCATGTCTATACAGACAGAATGACAGTCCAACTGGCCATGTGTACACAGACAGAAAGACAGTCCAACTGGCTATGTGTACACAGACAGAATGACAGTCCAACTGGCCATGTCTATACAGACAGAATGACAGTCCAAGTGGCCATGTCTATACAGACAGAATGACAGTCCAACTGGCCATGCGTACACAGACAGAATGACAGTCCAACTGGCCATGTGTATAGAGACAGAATGACAGTCCAACTGGCCATGTATACACAGACAGAATGACAGTCCATCTTGCCATGTGTATAGAGACAGAATGACAGTCCAACTGGCCATGTGTATACAGACAGAATGACAGTCCAACTGGCCATGTGTATACAGACAGAATGACAGTCCTACTGGCCATGTGTACACAGACAGAATGACAGTCCAACTGGCCATGTGTATACAGACAGAATGACAGTCCAACTGGCCATGTGTATTCAGACAGAATGACAGTCCAACTGGCCATGTCTATACAGACAGAATGACAGTCCAACTATTTGTACACAGACAGAATGACAGTCCAACTGACCATGTGTACACAGACAGAATGACACTCCAACTGGCCATGTGTATAGAGACAGAATGACAGTCCATCGTGCTATGTATACACAGACAGAATGACAGTCCATCTTGCCATGGTTATAAAGACCGAATGACAGTCCAACTGGCCATGTGTACACAGACAGAATGACAGTCCACCGTGCCATGTAAACACAGACAGAATGACAGTCCATGTTGCCATGTGTATAGAGACAGAATGACTGTCCAACTGGCCATGTGTATACAGACAGAATGACAGTCCAACTGACCATGTGTATACAGACAAAATGACAGTCCAACTGGCCATGTGTATACAGACAGAATGACAGTCCAACTGGCCATGTCTATACAGACAGAATGACAGTCCAACTGGCCATGTGTACACAGGCAGAATGACAGTCCAACTGGCCGGGTCTCTACAGACAGAGTGACAGTCCATGGTGCCATGTACACACAGACAGAATGACAGTCCAACTGGCCATGTGTTCACAGACAGAATGACAGTCCAACTGGCCATGTGTACACAGACAGAATGACAGTCCAACTGGCCATGTGTATACAGACAGAATGACAGTCCAACTGGCCATGTGTACACAGACAGAATGACAGTCCAACTGGCCATGTGTTCACAGACAGAATGACAGTCCAACTGGCCATGTGTACACAGACAGAATGACAGTCCAACTGGCCATGTGTATACAGACAGAATGACAGTCCAACTGGCCATGTGTACACAGACAGAATGACAGTCCAACTGTCCATGTGTATACAGACAGAATGACAGTCCAATTGGCTATGTGTATACAGACAGAATGACAGTCCAACTGGCCATGTCTATACAGACAGAGTGACAGTCCATTGTGCCATGTATACACAGACAGAATGACAGTCCAACTGGCCATGTGTATACAGACAGAATGACAGTCCAACTGGTCCTGTGTACACAGACAGAATGACAGTCCAACTGGCCATGTGTATACAGACAGAATGACAGTCCAACTGGCCATGTGTACACAGACAGAATGACAGTCCAACTGGTCATGTGTATACAGACAGAATGACAGTCCAACTGGCCATGTCTATACAGACAGAATGACAGTCCAACTGGCCATATCTATACAGACAGAATGACAGTCCAACTATTTGTACACAGACAGAATGACAGTCCAACTGGCCATGTGTATAGAGACAGAATGACAGTCCAACTGGCCATGTCTATACAAACAGAATGACAGTCCAACTGGCCATGTGTACACAGACAGACTGACAGTCCAACTGGCCATGTGTATACAGACAGAATGACAGTCCAACTGGCCATGTCTATACAGACAGAATGACAGTCCAACTGGCCATGTGTATACAGACAGAATGACAGTCCAACTGACCATGTGTACACAGACAGAATGACAGTCCAACTGGCCATGTGTATAGAGACAGAATGACAGTCCAACTGGCCACGTGTATAGAGACAGAATGACAGTCCATCGTGCTATGTATACACAGACAGAATGACAGTCCATCTTGCCATGTGTATACAGACAGAATGACAGTCCAACTGGCCATGTATACACAGACAGAATGACAGTCCATCTTGCCATTGTTATAGAGACCGAATGACAGTCCAACTGGCCATGTGTACACAGAAAGAATGACAGTCCACCGTGCCATGTATACACAGACAGAATGACAGTCCAGGTTGCCATGTGTATACAGACAGAATGACAGTCCAACTGGCCATGTGTATACAGACAGAATGACAGTCCAACTGGCGATGTCTATACAGACAGAATGACAGTCCAACAGGCCATGTCTATACAGACAGAATGACAGTCCAACTGGCCATGTGTATAGAGACAGAATGACAGTCCAACTGGCCATGTCTATACAGACAGAATGACAGTCCAATTGGCCATGTCTATACAGACAGAATGACAGTCTAACGGGCCATGTGTATACAGACAGAATGACAGTCTAACGGGCCATGTGTATACAGACAGAATGACAGTCCAACTGGCCACGTGTATAGAGACAGAGTGACAGTCCAAGTGGCCATGCGTACACAGACAGAATGACACTCCAACTGGCCATGTGTATACAGACAGTATGACAGTCCAACTGGCCATGTGTATACAGACAGTATGACAGTCCAACTGGCCATGTGTATACAGACAGAATGACAGTCCAACTGGCCATGTGTATACAGACAGAATGACAGTCCAACTGGCCATGTGTATACAGACAGTATGACAGTCCAACTGGCCATGTGTACACAGACAGAATGACAGTCCAACTGGCGATGTGTATACAGACAGAATGACAGTCCCACTGGCCATGTGTATACAGACAGAATGACAGTCCAACTTGCCATGTGTATACAGACAGTATGACAGTCCAACTGGTCATGTGTATACAGACAGAATGACAGTCCATGTTACCATGTGTATAGAGACAGAATGACAGTCCAACTGGCCATGTGTACACAGTCAGAATGACAGTCCAACTATTTGTACACAGACAGAATGACAGTCCAACTGGCCATGTGTATACAGACAGAATGACAGTCCACCTAGCCATGTTTACAGGGACAGAATGACAGTCCAACTGGCCATTTGTATACAGACAGAATGACAGTCCATCGTGTACACAGACAGAATAACAGTCCAACTATTTTTACACAGACAGAATGACAGTCCAACTGGCCATGTGTACACAGACAGAATGAATGACAGTCCAACTATTTGTACACAGACAGAATGACAGTCCAACTAGCCATATTTATAGGGACAGAATGACAGTCCAACTGGCCATGTGTACACAGACAGAATGACAGTCCAACTATTTGTACACAGAGAGAATGACAGTCCAACTGGCCATGTGTATAGAGACAGAATGACAGCCCAACTAGCCATATTTATAGAGACAGAATGACAGTCCAACTGGCCATGTGTATACAGACAGAATGAAAGACCATCGTGCCATATATACAGACAGAATGACAGTCCATCGTGCCATATATACAGACAGAATGACAGTCCATCGTGCCATGTATACACAGACAGAATGACAGTCCTTCTTGCCATGTGTATAGAGACAGAATGACAGGCCAACTGACCATGTGTATACAGACAAAATAACAGACCAACTGGCCATGTCTATACAGACAGAATGAAAGTCCAACTGGCCATGTCTATACAGACAGAATGACAGTCCAACTGGCCATGTGTATACAGACAGAATGACAGTTGAACTGGCCATGTGTATACAGACAGAATGACAGTCCAACTAGCCATGTATACACAGACAGAATGACAGTCCAACTGGCCATGTGTATACAGACAGAATGACAGTCCAACTAGCCATGTCTATACAGACAGAATGACAGTCCAACTAGCCATGTGTACAGAGACAGAATGACAGTCCAACTAGCCATGTGTATAGAGACAGAATGACAGGCCAACTGACCATGTGTATACAGACAAAAAAACAGTCCAACTGGCCATGTCTATACAGACAGAGTGACAGTCCAACAGACCATGTCTATACAGACAGAGTGACAGTCCAACTAGCCATGTCTATACAGACAGAA